GGAGGAAAGTCCAAAACAGGGTTCCACTTGGGATGTGCTTTGAATTTTTGATGAGAGCTAGCTCCATCACTAGAGGCATAAGAAGAAGGATAGAATGGGGCCATCAAAGATATCTAATAGGTTCAAAAGGTGGAAGTCTTGAGATCTTCCATGGCAAAGTAATTTAAGTATCTGAAAGGTATGTTCATGAAGAAAATGTAATAACATCGTCTATTGGTAGAATTGTCCAGTAACAGCAAGTGCAAATAAAACCTAAGGGCTGCAGCTGAGCATAAGTATGACCAACTCCCATTAGCAGAGACTCTGCCAAGATATACACACAAAAGATAAGAATAAGACCATTTGTATACGACAAAACTGCCCAATTATTTGTCGGTTCCTTCCTTGCATAAAGACAGGTCAATGCCAGAGGGGAATTTTCTTGGCCTTGATAGAGAAATACCAAAAGAGGGTTGACCCTGGGCCATACTGAGTCAAAAAGGTCACCAGCGTCTGGTTGTGGCTTAAAGAAACACCAGGACTTGCCCAGCCCGCAGTGGAGAAGGGAGTGTCTGCAAGTTGAGTTGTTCTGTCATTTTGTATATAACTTGCACTGTGCAGGTGCTAATGCTGTGGCATTCAGAGCTTTGCTTGTAAGTTCCACTTTCAAATACTTTCCTGTAGTGAATCCAAGAGGCATCTCTGCCCTCAGGGAGCTTACTGTCTAGTCGGAGGATGGAACGTGAAGACAGCCAATAAACAAAATTCAAATACATTACAGTGTGTTAGTGGTGATATGTGATTTGGAAAAAAATTTATCAGGAAGGGGGACTGGGCGGGTTCAAATGTGACACGTGGCAGCGAGCAAAGTTCTCACTAGTAAAGGGATGTTTGAGCAAAGGTGGGAACGAAGTGAGAGGGTGAGACACGAGGATCTCTGGGCAGAGAGCATTCTAGGCAGAGAGAAGGGCGGGAGCCAATGCTCTAAGGTGGAATTGGGCCTGGCTCGCAAGAAGGCCGGCAGGGCTGGAGCAGCGCGAGTGTGGGGAGAGAAGCAGGAGAGGGAGGAAGGGAGGAGAAGGTGGGAGGAGCAGGGGTGCCCATGGCACAGCCCCTACAGGTCCTTGAAAGGACTTTCCCTTTGCCTGTGTGAGGCGGGAGCGCTGGAGGGTTGAGCTTGGCTGAACGCTATGTAATTTATGTTTTATGAGGGCATTGTAACTGCAGTCTCACCCAGAGACCAGTTAGGGCAATGGCAATCATCCGTTTGAGAGATAACGACGGCTTGATGAGAATGATAGCTGTGGAAGGGATAGCAAGTGCCCGATCATGCATATATTCTGAAGGTAGAGCTAACAGGATTTATGACAAATTAGATACAAAGCATGCATAGGGAGACTCAAGAATGACCCTTAGATTCTGGTCTGGGTAATCTGCAAGGATAGAGCCGCCCTTTACTAAGATGGGAGAGACTGGTGCAAAAGCTACTTTGGGAGGTAAGATCAGGAGTTTCACCTTGAGCATGTTCAGTCTGAGAGCCTATTGAATATCCACATGGAGATGTCAAGTAGGTAGCTGGATATATGAGTCAGGAATTCAGGAGAGAGGACTGGGATAGAAATATACATTTGGACATCAGCACAAAAATTTAAACCATGAAACTGGGGGAGGTCACCTGGGAAATAGTGTCAAAAGAAGAGTTCCAATATCCCAGTGTTAAGAGGAGGAACCAGCAATGGCAACTGAGATGCAGCAGTTTCATTTGTTTGCTTTTATGGATCACCTACTACATGCCAGCACTCTACTAGGAGCTGGTCATGCAATAAATAAGACCAGCCCCTGCTGTCAAGGGGCTTGCAGTCAATGCATTAAAGTAAGCATTCAAATATAGTGTGGTAACTGCAAAGAGACTTGTACCTGGTAAAGGGACCAGGGAGAAAGAATGGTTGTCTCAGGCTGGGATGGCTGGCAGGGTCTGGGAAGAAATAACACCTAGAATGTACAGGGAGACTAAGAGTTAGCTAGGTGAGAGGGAAGGGCAGAGAGGCGAAGCAGCCTGGAACATACTGAGAAATATACAGCTATTTGGCACTGGCATTTCTGCCTGAGAAAATAGCTCGGTATCTAATGAGGGGATACCTCAAGTCCTAAGAGACACCTCACACTGACACAAAGGTAGGTAACACCTCTGGCAAATGAGTTACTCGCTGCAGCACTGCAGTCTGGCTGAAGAAGTTCGGGTTTGCCTCGCCACCAGTTCCACCATCTTAGGATTCAGGAGAAGGGGCTCTGTTATGGCAACTTGCATCCAGAGCTGCAACAGAGCCGTCTCCCCATCAGCACTTAATTCTGGGTTGCAGCCGAGACCATATGGTGGTTGCATTTTTTATTTGTCTTTGTTTATATTGTAAAGTGAGCAGGACAAGCACAGAGTGTTCCTAGCAACAAATAAGACTTGAGGTGGGAGAGGAATTGTTCCTCAGGGAAGCAGAGGGACAGCCACCTGGCAACGCCCCTTCCATGTTAGAGAGTCAACAGCACCCAACAACCCACCACAAATGGAAAAAGAGCTTTTGACCAAAAGTATCTCCCCAGGAGTTCCCTCTGACAGTGGGGTGTTTCTTAAGACATGATGTGTGCAAGTCAGTGTCCCCCTCATTGTTAGTCTCCTTGCAAACATCAAGGTCTGAACGTTTCCTGTCTCCTGGAGGGGCCAACATCTAGTTTTACATTACAATTACTTTCCAAAGTGTCAGCCTGCAAAGTTTTCCACGTTAGTGTCCATTTTCCTCCCAGGTTTGCTCCATTCTTTCCCAACGCAGCTGATGTCATTCATTTACATTTCTGCTCATCTGCTCAGGTTACCCCCAAAGGAACCTGGTGACAGAGACAAGATATATTTCGCAGGCACCTTCAAAGTGCCAGTCTGTGCTGAGTGAGAGGCAGACCGAGCAGAAGCAGAGGCAAGTCAGCACCAAATCTACACGCACAACTGTTATCACAACAGAAACTTCTCTTCTGCAGGAATAACAGTAGCCAGCGCCTACACATGCTCACTATATACCACGCACTGTTACAAGCATTTCAGTCTTCACAGCCACTCAGAGTAAGTATTGCTATTACTCTGATTTTATAGATGAGGAAACTGAGATCCAGAAAAATGGAGTAACCCAGGGCAGTTCCACGGAGCTGCTCGTGAGCAGATCTGGAGTCTGCACCCTTAACCCTCAATTACTCTGCGTTTTTGAGACCCAGGTCCTTTTCCACACCTTATATTTAATACTGTACATTTTTAGTGTAAGAATGAATCTGAAGTATCTCTGCCCATTCCTTATAGAAAAATTGAATACCAGTCATTTTTAGCATAAGAAATTAATGTGGAACATTTTAGGATGTATGTAAGCTCTTTGGCTTTCGGTGTATGTATTTTTAATGCTCTTCCTAAATTTTCTTGTAGGCCAAAGATAGTATTTTATATAAGGTCAAAAGATTATTTTTCATAGTGGTTCTTCGCTTTAGTATTGGTAGCTTTCTGCTACAAATGACAGAAAACCCAACTGGAATAATAATGACCTTTTACTGTACCACTAATAGTAAATCCAGAGGCTGCACAGTTGGCCAGATGTCCAAGCATGCCCCATTGCAGGAATGAGACTGCCCATCATGAGGCATCCCCAACCATAGGGAGCAAGTTGCCCTCCCAGAGCCCACCCACAGCCTTGCTGGGGGGAGTTCCCCAGGGCCAGAAGCAAGGAGGAGGTGGAAGGTCAGCTGTAGAAGGGCACCCACCACTTGTCCCAGTGATGCTATGGGGTGGACTGGAGAATACAGTTAAGTATCAGCACAGAGAGATAGAATAGATATTTTGAAAGTTCATCCTCTTTTTATCAAAATACTTGACTTTTGTCAAAAGCCTGAGTCCTACTGCTGGCTGTGGACATGCCTAACGGTGACAGCTGTGGCCAGAGGGAAGGTGGGCAAGGAGAGAGGAGGTGGTGTGGCCAGGGAACGGGCAGGAACTTGGAGGGTTAGAGCCCAGGGCCCTCGATAGCAGCAAACAGTTCTCGAGTGCTTCCTCTATGCCAGGTTTCACTGGGGCCTATAAGCCGAGCAGTATTGTTACTCCTTTCACACATAATAAAAGTGAGTCTCAGTGAGGTCTTGTAATGTGAACAGGCCACAGAAGTCGAAATCTGTGGGACTATGGTTTGAATCCCTACAGGTTTCTTTAAATAGAGTTTGGGCACCCTGTAGGCAACTCACCTGGAGCACTTATTTGAAATGCAGATTCCTGGGCACCAGGCTGCATCAGACTTTCTGGGGGTAGGGCTCAGAGTAGGAAATTGAACATTTCCCACACAATGTTTAAGAACAAGTGGATAATAATCTATTGCTTCCCGTCTGGGTTCTGACCTTGGGCAAGTGACGGTTTTTCCTTGGGCCTCAGTTTCCTGACTTGTAAAATGACCATGGAGAGGTCACTTCCAGCTGGAAAACTGATTGCAATTCATCTTGAAGGCAGTTGTCAACTGGCCCTTTTCCCTCTGTCTCCTATTTTTAAATATTAGCATTATCGAGATGATATTTTAAACGTCACAGAATGTAGTTTGGGGCACAGATTTTCACAGAGTTTCCCTGAAAATCTGGAAGAACTGGAACTTAATCCCCTTAATGTGGTATATTTGTACTGCCCTCCTTAAAGCTCAGGCCTGGGACTAACAACTTCTTTGGGTTCCCTCAGACTCTGGGGAGTTTATTTTTCTGACTTCTTGACACCACTAGAGACAAGGATCTTGTCAATAATTTTGATTTCCCTTCCGCTCTGAAAACACAACCTAATTTGTCAGCTATCTTTCGAAAGTTTAAACCAGACATTAAACCTGCTCATTAGCTCTCACCTATTTGGCATTTGTTTTGGTTTCATTTTTCTGATTCTTTGGAGAAAGGAAAGCAAGAAGCAGGGGCATTGGCTGAACAAGTTGAACCACTCAGGGAAGAGGTTCCCAGATAAGAAGGGTCTGAAGGACTTCCCTTGGGCGTGAGGGAAGTCAGGCGCCCCGTCCGGGGAAGAGGACCAGGAAACTGCTTCTTGTTTTCCCAGCAGCAGCAGCAGCCCCAGGCTCTCAGGACGGCTCTGGGAGGCCGTGGAGGTCGCGGGCTGGCGGGCACCGGGCAGCGGCGGGGCTGGACTGGGCACAGAGGCTGGCCGGCCGCAGCCCTGGCCCTGAGTCCTGCTCGGCTCTCCCGTCACAGGGTGTGAGGCTCCTCTTGGAGACCACAGGACAAATGGCCTCACCGCGGGAACCTGGACGCTTTTAGGCGGCTGGCCAGGGCAGGCACCGGCGTGGGACTGCGGTGCTTGGCAGGTAACTGGCAGTCCCCTCCTCCTGCGGCTTGTCTCCCTTCGTAGCAAGACCTCAGGACCCCCTGTCCTTTGGACACTCCTTTTAAGGTGTTGTCCAGTTATGACACTCTTTTCCTGAGGTTCTTTTATGTCTCTGTGACTTGTATGTCGCGAGAGGAAAGCACACACGGTTAAGAGCATTGGGCAGCCTACTGGTCAAGCTGATGAGACTGTGTTTAGGGAGATGGAATATCAGACAATTAGCTGGCATCCTTTTAGGATTTTCTGTATAGTAAAGGGGGCTTTCTCTTTCTTTTTTCTTCATTCCTTCCTGCCTTCCATGTATTTTGCCATTCCTGAGCCAGAAAATACCATCAGACCGGAGCGCTCATAGACTAAGCGCTGCATGAGCACTTGCCCGGCTAGGCAGCCGGGCTGCGGTTTTGCAGGTGAGGGCCGGCCGCACCCACGGAGAGCAGAGGGGTGCGGGGTAGTCCCTCAGTCCCCAGACAGTCTGCGGGGCAGGGGTGATCCCCAAAATGTGAAACATAAGTTGTTATCTCCCATCCGTGACTGTGGGGAAAGGGGCTTAGAGTCAGCACTGGGTGGGAAGTCGGGAAAAGGTCTGGGGTTAAGAGCAAGACTGGTCTTGACTTTTCTAGAAGGAAGGAAAAGCTCTGTGATGTGTGGCTTGCTTAAAACACATCTTCTTCTACTTTGTAGAAAACCAGGCTGGGCCACTTCACTGCAGCTCTGTTTTCTTTCATAAAGGGCTAATGTATTTGGTCTTTCATTTTTGAATTACACAAGTAATACATGAATATATTCATACTGTCATAGAATTCTCTCCAACAGGTTTTCAAGCCTCACATCCCCTAGTACACATTCTTTTTTCCCTCTCCAAAATGATCCTGTCAATAGTTTGCTGTGTATCTTACCGGTCTTGCCAGCTCTTAGGACAAGCCATGGCCCACTCACCGGAAAGACACAATTATATGGGGGGAGGGTGAACAGCTCTTCTAACATGTAGAAAAGTTTGAAAGAGGTTTACTAATTTTTACCTTTATTTTTGTGTTTTAGCACAATAATTATATATTTAATAAAATTCAGTTCCCAGATAAGAATTCAGAAGGACTTCCCTTGGGTGTGAGGGAAATCAGGCTCTCAGTCCAGGGAATCATTTAATAATGATTTAGTTATTAATAATAATAACTTCCTGTGGCTTAATCTCTAGATTTCCAATTTAAGGTTTGGGCTTCTCTCTTGAAGGCCATCAAAGACAGTCAGTCATGTTCTGGAAATGAGAGGGGGGAAAAAAGGAGAAAAAAAAGAAAAGAAAACTAACTGGCTGCACAGATACTTTGACGGATTGGTACATTGATCGATAGATGATAGACACCCAGATTAGTGGTTGGCCTAGAGAAGATGGGGTAAGGGTGGAAGACACTCCCTTTTTATTTAGTGGATAATAAATGCATTTGACAGGTTAATTTTCTGGCGTTTTTAGCTTTCTGTAAAAAGGTGGCCTTTCATTTTGTCCCCTGTACTTTGTTATGAGACAAGTGAATAAGACAAGCATCCCCATGAACCAGTCGATAAGGGTCATGGAATGGTTTGGACAGAAGGTGCAAACAAGCAATGTCAACCCCAAGAATAATCACAAGATTCTCTCTGCTGCTATGTGGTATTTTCTAGCCATTTCCAAAGGTTCTCCACCCCAAACCAAAAGGCCACTTGTCCCTGCTGATTCTGGACATTCTGTAGTGCTTTGTTGACGACCCTGTTTAGAGGGCTTTGGCTCATCTGCTTAACCATTGCACCATGCTGCACAGAGCCACCACATGGCAGAGGCATCCTTGTCTCTCAGCACATCACAGACGAAGCAGGTATCTTATTCCCATTTTATGTAATACAAAATGAGAGTTTCAGAGGTTAAGTTGTTGGCCCAGCATTACACAGTGAACCTTTTGAGGGCATTGACATGAGAAGAAACCCAGTTCTCTGGCTTTCCAGCCCCATTTTTGGTCAATAATGAGAGGATTACAGTCATGTGGCATAGAGAATTAATGTGATTGACAGGATTCTGCCAGCTTTGTAGCAACATAGATTCCCAGTTTTTCTGGGAATCGGTAGACAGATCAAGCTATTGCCTGGTCTGGATTTTAGCAGATTCTAACACCTGTGATCTTTTAGTGCCACCCTGGAAACTTAGCAAAAAGAAAACCATGCTCAGACACTGCCCTGAAGCAGTTGAATCAGATTCTCTGGGAAAAGGGGCCTGGGCATAGCACTTTTGTGAAACCTCTGAAGTGATTCTTTTATGCAATAAGGGTTGAGAACCACTGAGTCCTAACCATAAAAGAGAAAGTGGCTAAATTGAGAAGCCGAAGCAATACTTGTTCATGTAGCAGAGAAGCTGGGGCCAGAAGTGTCAGCCGCTGTGAATGTCATGTATTAGGACTGTGACTGCTGCTGTCTATGAGCGGAACAGACCCATCTCACACCTGCATGTGAGAGTGAAGAGTTTCCAGCTTCCTCCATAGAGGCGCTGTCTTCCAAGTTTAAATGGAAACAATCCCACTGAATTCACTGTAGATACCTCGACTCCCTGTTAACTTGCAGATTCTACAAAATCAGATTAAATGTTCTGGGTAAACAGGATGTTTACCTTTGAATGCCAAATGAGTATGAATGTCATACATTTTATTCAATGTCACTTTAACATATTATGTCTCAATCCCAAGAAAAAGTGAAAAGAAATGACTCTGTGGCACGATCCACCACTTTCTGGATTGATCTATTTATGGATAGACAATAAAGGAGGGCTGCTTTTTAATCATTAAGTGTGCCCCTAGAATCTTTCCCCCTAACATTTCTCAATATTGCTCAAATTAGTGTTCTTATCAGGGTAATATCTGTGTCCGTTATAGAGAAAACAAGGAGGGGTTCACTCCGCTTACTTCAGTATCCTCAGTGCCTGCTGGTCTCGGCACACAGTAGATGCTACAGGAAGGTTTGCTAAGTCAAATACCTGTGTTGACTCTGAGTATGCTGTGAATTTATTATCAGCTATTTACCAGCTCAGCATTTCAACTCACATTGCATGATTCTAGACATCATGGTTAAAATAATTGGAATCTAGCCTATTTCCTAAATAATAATCATGAAAGTAATACCTTCAAAATCCTGATTTAGTAAAAGCACCTACACTGGACAGACTTGCTAGGCACTGTGGAATTGCAAAGCGGGAGAGTCCTTTCCTTATTTTTTTAATTTGCTTATACTCTTAAGGGAGGTATGGCACAGGCACTGAGAATTTCAATACTAACAGGTAATGTTTATTATGACCACAGTGCTTTACAAAGAATGTTCACTCATTTAGTTATTCTAATAATCCCATGCCTCTGGTGCTGTTATAATGACTATTTTATAGATGAAGGGACACACAGTTTTAAGTAAGTTACCCCAGACATACAAAGCTTGCAAGTAACAGAGTCACGAGAACAGTCCATAGGCCTAATTACAATGCCATGCTGCAAAGGCTTATAATGCTGCTGCAGAAAAACTCACATGGCAGGGCCAGAGGAGCAGCTGAGGAGAGAAAGGCAGTGTATTCAGGAAGATGTGTGTGGAGAAGAGAAGCAGAGGCCGTATGCTATAAAGATGAAGAAGTCAGACTTTGGCAACACACTTCGCTATTTCCTCTGTGATCTGGGGTATGTTACTTAATTCGCCAAGCTTTAATTTCCCCATATATGAAATGGGGATACTGATAGTTCTTACAATATAGGATGTAAGGACTAAATAAGCTTAGGGCATGCAGAGTGATTAGCCTACTGCCTGGCATATTGCAAGGGCTTGATAAATGGTAGCAATTGCTGTTCAACTTTTTCAGCTAAGTGAGTAAGCAAGACCTGAAATGATGAGAGAAGCTCAGCAAGGAGGAATAAGGTATTCTATTTGCCAAGAATACTATTTGAAGGAGCAATCCATTCAACCGATATTCATTGTTAATGTTTATGACATATTTGCAAAGGAAGGTACAATAAAAGCTTGCGAGTCAGTCAGCCTGTTCTATAACCAAGTGATATGGAAGAAAAGTGGTGCTGAGCTGGGTTTACGTTTGGTGGTGATTGTGCTTGTCAACTATTCTCTGGGCATTCGGGAATGTTTAAAGTATTTGAGTGTGCTATTGAGCAAACTCTGAAAAATAGGGCTCCACGCAAATTAATCAACAGACGGGGTCTTGGCTCATTGAGCAGGAGGGATCTGGGGAGGGAAGCCTTTCGGGAGATTGTTGCCATCACCCAGGTGAGACATGAGCATGTACAAACCGGTGTGGTGGCCGAGGAAAAGAAAACATCAGCAGTGGCAGTATTGCCAGGATTTAGTGACTGGCTGAACTGCTGCTCCCGCTCTGGCCCTCAGCTCTGTGTCCAGGAACACCTGGGTCATGAGCCTGGGAAACTGGAGATGAAGCTCACTGTCGGCAAATCTGGGGAAAGATGGGTTAGGAGATAGCGGTAGAAGAGAGGCAGCATGTTGCATTTTGAATGACCTGAATTTCGAACCAGGTGAACATAATACAATGGCAGACACACATGCTTAATATTTAGCAAAGAGATCACTGTGGAAATCAAGTTTTTGCAATTCTCATATAAACTGATCATTTCAGCCATAGAAGAGGACAAGCTGTGTAAGAGAAGGGGTGTCAGGAGAGATAAGCCAAGGACCCAGGAGAGGTTCTGGCAGGCCCACAGTGAGGCGGTGCGAGGAGGAGGAAGACCCATAGAAGGAGGGAGAGAGCAGAAGGCAGAGTGGTGAGAAGGCCAGGAGAGGGAAGGAGCTGTGAGGGAAGAGGCGCTGAGGGGTGTCAGGAACCAACAGGAACCACAGAGGAGGAGGACCGGCTGGGTAGGAATGTCACAAGGCTTGCCTTTACAGAATCTTCGCACAATGAGGTGAGGACTAAAGCCAGACTGTCCAGATTTTGTCATCTAAGCACATCTTGGAATGGAGGAC